TGAGCGGCGGCAGAGGCTTGTGTCTCGACCAAGCAGCGTTTCACGCCCCAGTGACCTGCACGGGGGCGCCGTGAGCCCAGAGCACCAAGGCACGGGTGCACGAGGGTGCACGAGGGGACAGAGCAGCCTGCCGCACCGAGGAAATGGGGTTTCCAAACCTGCTCCCACTGCGGGGCTCCCCAAGGGCTCCCAGCCAGCCACCCCAGGCCGAAGCCTGGCCAGCACAGGAGGGATAAAAGGCCCCAGCCCGGCAGAGCATCCTTATGCCAGGAGCTGCGACTCCGGTGGGGATTTGCTGCCTGTGCCAGCGCACCAGCAGCGCCTGCCTTGCCTCGGCTGATCTGAACCCGGCCCGTGATGCAGATCGGGGGATGCCGTTAGCGGAGTGGCGTCACCGCCACACATGGGCAAGAAGGGCCCTTTGCCACAGCCGGCCCAGCCCAGGCCAGGGGCTTCCCGGAGCTAACTCCTGTGGCCAGGCCAGGCTGCAGGGACCGGGGGGAACGGCCGCCCGTGGCCAATCTCCCTGCCTGGCAAATACCTGCCCTGGCAGCCATGAGACCCCACCTGCACCCTCCTCGTCACGCCCTTTGGGTACTTGAAAGCTGCTCTCGTGCGCCCTCTCAGTCCGCCCCTTTCCAGAGTAAACCAGCCCAGTTCGTTCCGTCTGCCCTCCTAGCTCCTGTTCTCTCGACCTTGCATCGTCCTTGGTGCTCTTCTCTGGACCCTCCACGTCTTTCCTGAAACGCGGTGCCCAGAACTGGACACAAGCCTCCAACTGAGGCCTGATCGGCGCAGAGCAGAGCAGAGCAGAACAACAACTTCTTGTGTCTTGCTCACAACACTCCTGCTCATGCATCTGCATTGTTTGCATGTGTCACACTGTCGTCTCAGATGTGGCTTGTGGTCCACCCTGGCCCCCAGATCCCTTCCTGCAGGTCTCCTTCCTGGACAGTCGCTTCCCTGGACGCTTTGACCGTAAGGAGCTCTGTGACCTACAGCAGCGCTGGGCTGAGCTCCCGGGGAGACGCTACAGGGTAAATCCAGAGCAGCTCTGCTCCGGGCTGGGGAGTCGCTCCAGATGGCCTGTGAGCAGACCCCTCCCGGACCACCCTGAGGACAAAGCACGCCCGTTTCTTTACCTGCCGCGTGGCTGGGTCTTGCTGCGCAAGCCGGCCTCTCCGCGGCCTTGTGGGGCCTCCCGCGTGTAACCCACAAGGCCTCCAGGTGCAATGCGGCACCCACTGACGGAACGAAGCAGGGCAGACTCGTGCTGGCCCTGGCCTCCCCCCTGCGGCCCGGCACCAAGCAGGGACCTGCTCAGAGCTCGCTGCCTCCCAGCGCTCGTGCTGAGAAGGAAAACAAAGGTGAAGAGAAGAGCTGGGCGAGAGCAGCCGTCACCTCCGAGCCAGCCTGGCCCCTTCTCTTCCTTGCCACGGAGGGGAGGCTGGCCAGCAGCTCCCGAGCAGGGCAGAACACCGCGCCGGTCCAGAACCTCCCTCCCCTAAGCCAGGGCGTGCAGCGCATGCAGGAAAAGGGCTTCCCAAGGGGCGTGAGACTCAGCGCCACGGTCCCTTCGCTCGGGCCAGGGTTCCACAGACGCAGCAGCAGCAGCCCGGGGCGGCTGCCAGGGCCCAGGACGCCAGCAGGGCAAAGGAAAAGGCTGCTCTGCTCTGGTCTGACTCCGCACGCTGCAGCCAGGCCTGCGCCGGTCTGGAACGTGGGAATATTGCCCCCTAGCTGCCAGGAGCCCAGGGACCCCACTGCACTCACCAGCCACCTCTCCCCCCCTCGGGGAGGCCTTGGGGTTCGCGGCAGCGTGGGCCAGGTCCAGCTGGGGGTGCTCAGCAGCCCAGACACACCACAGAGCTCGACAGGGCTGCAATGGCAGGTGCTGGCCCAGGGCAGGGGTTGTCA